TCAATAGAAGCCACCAATAGAAATGGCTCCCGGAGTGGGAGAGAGGTGCCCCCGTGTTTCACGAACAGGAAATTATAATCACTAATCATAAAGGGGGACAGGGACTTAATAACTATATTAAACTTTGGGACTTTTGTTCATTAGAAGATACCTGTCAGGGAATAGAAAGGCAGTTGGGAGATTTTCTAAATATACCCATCCTGGGCTGAACAAGATCCCCCAGAATTCACTGTCCACCCGGAACCTCAGAATGTGACATTATGTGGAAGGGGTTCTTCGCAGAGATCATTGTTTAGGCTGAGAGGAGGTCTTGACTTGGGCTCATGGGGCGCCTGGGATCCCGGGGACTGGACAGCTAAGGCTCACTCTAGAGCAGGGAGTCTGGAAGCGGTGCTGGATCCAAGGCCCAGGTTTGTACAGGTCAGAGATTTGTTTTCCAGGCCCACCTGACTGGGCAGCCCCAGGGTGTGGAAGCAGGATGCAGACCTTGCTCGGAGGTAGGGACCGAAGGAAGGGCTCTCACTCAAGGAGGAAGGTTTCAGGGAATGGACCCCATTGGTGAAGCACAAGGAGAAGTGGGGTGATTTGTGACAGTCAGCCATCATTCCTTAAAATGAAAGACGTTCTGAATACCGAGGGGGGGTCGGGGAAGGGGGAATGGAAAGTGGTGGCTTCTATAAAACATTCCTTTAGTCATGCAGGTGGCCATGCAGTTGGTCTCAGCTGCTCTGGAGGCTGAGGCAGGAGGATCAAAAGTTTGAGGCCATCCTCAGCAAGTGAGTGAGACTCTCAGCACTTTAACAAGACCCCCTGTCTCAAAATAAAAAAAATAAAAAGGGCTGGGAATGCGGCTCAGTAGTAGAACAACCTGGGTTAAAACCCTAGCACCAACAAAACAAAAAACCCCAATTCCTTTAACCACATTATTTGTTTTGTTTAATTTAGCACATAGATTTCCTTCCTCATCATTATTTCATCAAAATGTCACAGATCACTTCACAACAGGGATGAATCCAGTGAAACACAGAAACCCCAGTGGTGTAGGTTGGTCTCTCCAGGTGGCTTCTTTTTTTTTTATTTGGTACCAGAAATTGAACCCAGGGGCACCACTGAGCCACACCCTCAGCCCTTTTTCTTTTTATTTAGACACAGGGTCTCGCTGCGTTGCACAGGGCCTTGCTAAATTGTTGAGGCTGGCTTTGAACTCACTATCCTCCTGCCTCAGCCTCCCCAGCCGCTGGGATCACAGGCGTGCGCCACTGCGCCCAACTGTGCTATGCTTTTGATACAACTGGCAGCTCAGTAGTAGGTTTGTCTATACCAGCATTGCCATAAACGTGTGGGTAATGTCTTGAGCTGTGGCGATTTGACAGCCATGATGGCATCAGCTGGTAGGAATTCTTCAACTGTATTGCAATTCTCGGGGACACTGTCACCTCTGTGGCCCCACCATCGACTGAAATATCATTCTGCTTCATCTCTGTGTGTAGAAAAGTGTGTGGATCAGAAAAGTTCAGCTCAGTGAATTTTCACAAGAGTACAAAGGTGAACCAGCCTCTGGCTCAGGGGACCAGCAGAGCCCCCCCAGAACTGCCTCTTGAGCCTCCATCCGGTCACTGACCCCCAAAGCACCATCACTATCCTGATTTCCATCATTATAGGTTAGTTTTGCTTGTTTGGCGCTTGATACCCACAGACGCCTAAGATATTACTCTTTTGCATCGGGCTTCTTCTGAGGTAGGATGTGAGACACGTCCAAATGACTGTGTGTCATCATAGTTCATTTTAATTGCTGTACAGCATTGTATTATGTAAACAAATGACTATTTTCCATTCTACTATTGATGGACATCTGGGCAGTTTCCAGTTTGGGGCTACTACAAATATTGCTGCTTTGAAGAAAAAAAAAGTATGGAGTGTTGCAGTCAATGTCTTTTGGTGAAGGGTTGGAGGTGTAGCTCAGTGCTCACCCAGCATGCATCTGGTCCCAGGTTGGATTCCCAGCATTGCAAAAAATTACAATTAAAAAAATCTTTTGGTGAACGTAGGTACATATTTCTGGTGGGCATATACATACCTAAGGGTTAAATTTCTGGATTATCAAGTATGTGAAATTTTAGCTTTATGAAATACACAATCATGCCCTGAATGAAAATGTTTTGAGCAATGATGGATCATGTACATGATGGTGGTCTCCGTATGATTGTATCGCCTGGTGATGCCAAAGTCTTTGTTGGTTGAGTACACTCTATGCTGTTCACAGGATGACAAAATTGACTAATGACAAATTTCTCAGAGTTGTTCTATCACTCATTGACTGTGCCACTGTACTACCAATTACGTGACTTGGCTGTGAGTCATCCCCGCTAACATTTGGTGCTGTTTACTGTAGCCATTCTGGCGGGCACGTGCACAGTGGTTTAAGTTTGCATTTCTCTGTGGTTGATAAAATGAAGTCCCTTTTATTTGCAGTGTGGATTCCTTCTTTTGTGAAGTGTTCAAGACTCAGCCATTTTCCCAACACATTGTCTTCTTCTTGTTCATTTATGGTGCTCTTTATGTATTCTGAGAACAGAATCCCTTTGCAGATAGACACCATATTCATTTCCTAGGGCTGTGGTAACAAATTGCCATGGATTGGATGGCACATAAAACAACAGAAACTTATTCTCTCATGGGTCCAGAGGCCTGAGTCTGAAGTCCAGGGCCGTGACCCCTCCGAAGGCGACAGGAAGACTCCTCCTCCGCCTCTTCGTTCCTCCTGGTGGCTCCTGGCAATCCTTAGCATTCCCAGCAAAGGAGTAGATCCTTTGCTCCAGTCTCTGCTTCTGACTCTCCTGGCCTTCCCCGTCTCTCTGTTCTAGTGGCCTGCTCTTTTTTTGGGTACCAGGGATTGAACTCAGGGGCACTCGACCACTGAGCCACACCCCCAGCCCTATTTTGTATTTTGTTTAGAGACAGGGTCTCACTGAGTTGCTTAGCGCCTCCCTGTTGCTGAGGCTGGTTTTGAACTCATAATCCTCCTGTCTCAGCCTCCCAGCTGCTAGGATTTCAGGCGTGTGCCACCACGCCTAGCTCTAGTGGCCTACTCTTAAGGACACTTATTGGATTTAAAGCCCACCCTAATTCTGATCTCTTAACTAGTTACATCTGCAAAGACCCTTTTTCCAAATGAGGTCCCATTCTAAGGTCCTGGGTAGATGTGCCTATGGGGAGGGGGGATTATTCAACCCAGCAGAGAGGTATTCACAATTTTTTATTCCACCCTGCAGATTACCTCTACTTCTTAACTGTATCTTCTAATGAGTAAAACTTCCAAATTTTAATAGGGACCAGCTTGTCAACTTTTCCTCTTTATGGTTAGTGCTTAGCATTTGTCGGTGAAACATGGGTCCCTTGCATACACAGCTATCTATTCTCAATGGTATGCCAGAGGTGGCCAGTAGAGGTCCCACTCCCCAGAATTCCCAGTGGAGGTGAGCTTTGTCCACTCAGGGAAGTAGCCCGTTTAATGATTCATCTTGCATTACCACCTTTTCTTCCCTGCCTGGATTTCCCCTTCCTTTACTGGTATCTTCTGGAACCACATCAAATCAAATCCCCTCCCCCCACACACATACTCAAGCAATCACTTGCCCTGGAATCCTTGCCTCAGAAGAACCCAAACTAAAATGACAGTCTTCAAATCTGCCTCAACCCCAACCTCCTCGTCTTCCAAAAGAGGAGAAAATATGCATCTTTGTGCAGAATTTGAATGCTGGGCACAGTGGCGCACGCCTGTAATCCCAGCATCTTGGGAGGTGGAGGCAGGAGGATCACAAGTTCAAAGCCAGCCCCAGCAAAACTGAGATGCTAAACAACTCAGTGAGACCCTGTCTCTAAATAAAATACAAAATAGGGCTGGGGATGTGGCTCAGTGGTCAAGTGCCCCTGAGTTCAATTCCCGGTACCACCTCCAAAAAATAAATAAAAAAAACTTGAAAGAACCCCATCTTAGTCTCAGCCATCCTGGGTTAGGATGGGTTAGGTAGTAAGATCCCTGGCACTCGAAGCAGTCAAAACAATCTGAATATCTATAAGAGAGGTGTTTGAAAAGGGTTGAACTAAAAGAAATTAGTGGTCCCATCTCTCCATGGAAAATTCTATGATTCAATATATGGTCAATACTCCTTTTCTTTTCTTTCTTTCTTTCTTTCTGTTTTTTGTTTTGTTTTGTTTTGTTTTGTTTGTTTGTTTTGTGTGTGTGTGGTACCAGGGACTGAAACCAAGGGCACTTAACCCCTGAGCCACATCCCAGCCCTTTGTATTTTTTTTTTATTTTGAGACAGAGTCTCACTAGGTTGCTTATAGCCTCGCTAAGGTTGGCTTTGAGCCTATGATCCTCCTGCCTCAGCCTCCAGAGTCTCTGGGATCCCTGATGTGTGCCACTGTGCCTGGCGATACCCTTTTCCCTCCTGTAAAACTCAGGTGTTAAAGGGGCATATTTTAGGGGCATATTAGGATGTGGGAAACACTGAGCTCTGGCCTGATAGTCCTGCTCTGCCCCTCAGACTCTCCTGTGCAGATGTCACCAACCTTTCTAGAACATTCTTTCCCTGTTTTAGCTGGATTTGCCTAAAATACAGAACCATGGGTCACCCTGGAGGTCCAGGACAGAGCAGGGGAATACATAGTTGTAAAACCTCCAGGTGATTGGCATAATCTCCCAGTTTAGAGACCCTCTAAGCTAGATGCGAGGTCTCAAGTGGCCCCCACCAGCTCTGGCATGGCTGCGGCTCAGGCACCGTGAGGGCACAGGCCTGGAGGCCTGGACCATGGCTCTTGGTCATCCCTGGTTGGGCTGCTTTCTGCTGACATCTGAAACCAGTTAGGCCTCACCAAGAGATAAGCAATGTTCAGAAGGCAAACAAAACCTCCCGAGAGCCAGAAATCTATCAGGAACAACCAAGTGAGCTGTCGAGTGACTTGGGTCAGTTCACTGGAATATTTCTTCATTTCCTCCACTTCCGTTTTTCAATCCAGAAAGCATTGACTCGGCCTGTGTCCCCGGGCCCGAGACTCCTACTGGTGGCCAGAGCCCCTCTGCTCCTCCCAGGCAACCCTGGCCCCCCTTCCCTGGGCTGTGGGTTACGATTCCATTGTTCAGCCAAGAAAAGCCACTTCTGTTTCCAACCACAAAATTCTCTGGAATTCTCTTCAGGGACCGCTCAGCCTCCTAAAAGGGGGTCAGACAGGAGCAGTTCGGCAGACATCTGGGAAGGGCCCAGCTCCGAGGGCCATGAAGAGCTTTCCCCTGGTTCCTCCCATTCTCCTGGCCTTCCTCCTGAGCGTCCACACGTACGTCCTACGTATGTAGCTGCCCCACTCTTTCCCGGGGGCTCCTTTCCAGAAAGGACGGTCTCAAGCTTCCCTCCTGTTTTTAGGAGACAGTGACACGGAAAAGTCATGCTGTTTCCAGTACAGCCATAAGATGATTCCCTGGAACTGGGTGCAAGCCTACCAGTTCACCCAGATCAGCTGCCCCCAGCAGGGCGTGATGTGAGTATCTCCTGGGCGTGCTTTCAGGGTCCCTAGGCCGGCCACGTCACTGGATGGGGGTACCCAGCAGACCCCCTCAGCAGCAGAATGAGAAACCTGGGCTCCTGGGTTGGGTCCTGCCTCTGTGACAACATGCATGACTCTGAGCTCTGTTTGGAGCCTGCCATTCACACCATGGGCCAGGCACTGCGTGACCTGCAGACCCCGCAGGCTCATGAAAGAAAAGGGGCAAAGGTATTTGCACAAAAGAGTTGATCTCGGTCGTGATGAGTAGACACAGAGAGAGAGAGGATGAAGGAGCTTGTCACAGTGCCAGGAGGACCTGACTTGGCATCTGGAAGGTCTCCTTAAGGAAGGGACCCCAAGGATGAGTGGGAGGACATTCCAGAGAGGACCGAGGAGCATGGGATGAGCCAGAAGCAGGGGGGAGGATGAACTGTCAGCCTGACAAGGGGGAGAGGCAGCCAGGAAGCGGGGTCAGGGTAACAAGGGAGCTGACACAGGATCGGGGCTCCTGGCAGGATTCAATAGGGTCATGTATGCAAGTCCTTCAGCTCCGGGACTGGACACAGCACATGGTCAAGAAATGGAAGCTGCCTCCAGGAGCAAGCCCCAAGCGGGAACCAAGGCTCCTGATCACCAGAGAATATGTGAGCAGGAAGAGAAGGGGGCTCTGGGTACAAACCTGAATGTCATCATTTTAGACAGAGTCGAGGGTAGAGACGAGGACACTGAGAGCCTGCACAGAGTTTGGGGAGCTCCAGGGCTCAGGAGGTCCCGGCTCTTCTCCTTCGGGTCTTGAGGGGCTTTCTGGGACTTTAAAGACATCCACACTGAACCCACAGCTGGCAAAGTCCCTGAGCTGGGGTCAAAGCAGAACTCTGTCTCAAGCTGGGGGACCTTGGACAAGACAAGATTCCTCCATTCTAAAATGAAGGGGACAGGTGTTTATCAGTTATCTAGGACCACATATTAAACCACCCAATACGATGATGATACTTTTCTTATTTCTCATGGCTTCTGAGAGTCAGGAATTCCAGAAGGCTTGGCTAGATGGTGGTGGCTCACATAACTGAAGTCCGAGGGTGCTAGAACCAGCCTGGCTGGGGGCTGGCGGGCATCTCTGTGTGGCTGGTTGGGCTTCCTCACAGCATGGCGGTAGGACTTAGGAGGAGGTCCAAGCTTCCAGCATGAGAGCTTTCCCACCTTGTGTGACACAGCCTTAGCTGTCACATAGCATCACTTCCATCATATTCTCTTAGCCAGCAGTCCCTCAGCCTGGCCTAAATTCACGGGGAGGGGACACGAGCCTCCACCTGTCAATGGGAGTGATGTCAAAGAAATCTGCAGTCACACTTGCAGACTGTCACAGGGTCCTTCCTCTCCCTTGTTTTCCTGTGCCTTTGGCTCCTCTGCCCTGCATGTGCCAGGGCCAGCCAGCCAGCCCTGTAGACATCACTGGTCCCTGCAAACCTGTGCCATTCTAGAGTATCCCCAACCTCTCTTCTTGCCCTTCTGAGTGTTCTCAGGGAGCTCAGAGTTGGAGACTTGGGGACATCAACCATGACTCCCCCTTTTTTTTTAAATTTTTTACTGTTGGTTGTTCAAAATATTACAAATTTCTTGACATATCATATTCCACACTTTGATTCAAGTGGGTTATGAACTCCCACCTTCACCCCATACACAGATTGCAGAATCACATCAGTTACACATCCATTGATTTACATATTGCCATACTAGTGTCCGTTGTGCTCCACTGCCCTTCCCATCCTCCACCATCCCCCTTCCCCACCTCTCCCCTCCCCTCCCCTCCTCTCTCTCTACCCCCTCCACTGTATAACCCTACTCCCCATTTTTAATAAGCTCACAGTAAGGAATGCAAGAACCACATTTAAACAGCTACAGTGAGCAACCCAAGATGATGCAGATGAGAATTAAGTGGAATGGTGGTGTGGGTCCATTTCCCAGGTGAGGAAAATATTCTCCCACTGATCTTGGTGACAACTGCATAAGCTATAAATATACTAAAAGCCATGGAGTTGTGACTCACTTTAATTGGATGAGTAAAATAGTGTGTGAATTGTGTCTCGGGAAGGCTGTTGTAAATGGCAGGTGCAAGACACAGGTTACAGATTAGACCTGTGGGCAAGTGCTTCCTGGGGAGGGGGTTCTCTGAGCCTGGCTTCCTATGGGAACAGAGAGGAAGAAGAGCAGGGAGAAGAGGGGGTAGGGACAGAGTGTGGCAGGCCTGTGGGAGGGTGGCAAGGCTAGCCAGGGAGCTGCCCTGCCCTCTCCCCCTTCTCCCAAGGGAAGCCAAGGGCTCCCTAGTCACTTACTTCTGTCTTTATTTCACAGATTCACCACTAAAATAGGTGAGAGAGTCTGCGTCCAACCGAAGGAAAAATGGGTGCAGAGATACATTTCTCTGTTGGAAGCTCAGAAATAATCGTGACTCTGCTGAGTTTCCAGTCCAGGGACGCCTGGACCCTGCTCTTGGCCCTGTTCCCCTTGGTGGAGCTGGGGCAATCTCTGCAGAGGGCCTCCTGGCAGGGAGGGAAGCATGATTTCCACCAGAGTTTTTCTTCTTTTTTTTAAATAAAGGTTTTTCATGAAGATTTGACTTGTTGTTGATAAAATTATTAATGGATTAGAAGTTGATTTTTTTTTTTCCCCTAGGAAAGGAAACCAAGTCAGTATGTGTTAACCAGCTGCCTGGCAGGTCCCTAACCCCTGAACTGACCCTGTTATTGAATTTTACTGTTTTATTGTTGTTGTTCCATAATTGCAAAAAGACAAATTTATATACATTTTGTCAAAAGGCTTGGCATATGTTCTAACATTGTTGAGAAAGGTAAGTTAGGTTATTTGGAAAAGTAAACCCTGCCTAACATTTCACAGTCCATTCATGCTGGGTACCTGTTGCCTCACCGTATGGGAAATGTTTTTAGAAAACAAAAACAGTCAGGTGCTGTGGTATATGCCTATAATCTCAGCAGCTCAGGAGGCTGAGGCAGGAGGATTGCAGGTTTGAGGCCAGCCTCAGCAATTTAGTGAGGCCCTAAGCAACTTAACAAGACCCTATCACAAAATTTAAAAAAATAAATAAATAAAATAAAAAGGGCTGGGCATGTAGCTCAGTGGTAAAGCACCTCTGGGTTGAATCCCCAGTACCCAAAACACAAACAAAAAAATCCCAGAAAGAAAAAGAGAAAACCAAATACTAATCAATGAACATGAATAGGTTCTACCTACTAACCCTAGGAGGTCAATGTCTTCACTAGCCCAAGTAAATTCTTTTTAAGAAATAATTATAGATTCACAGGGGTTGCAGCCTATGGAGAGGGATGGTCACGGTGGCGCCCATCTGGGGAAGGGGTGGAGCTGAGACAGGAAGATCACAACCTGGAGACAGACCTGGGCAACTTAGACCCTGTCTCGAATAAATCAATAGGACTGGGGATGTGGCTCAGTGATAGAGTGCTTGCCTAGCATGCGTGAGGCCCTGGGTTCCATCTCCAACAACACAAAGATAATAATAATTATAATAATAACATGGGGAGATCAGGTGCACCCTTCCTCAGTCTCCCCCATGGTTACCTCTTACATAATTATAACACAGTGTCAAACCTAGGAGATTCACATTGGTAAAAAATGCGTGCATGGCTCTATCATTCTGCCATTGGATCACGTGTGGATTTGAGTAATCACTAGAATCAAGATACCGAATGGGGCTGGGGCTGGGGCTGGGGCTGGGGCTCAGTGGTAGAGCGCTCGCCTAGCACGTGCGAGGCCCTGGGTTCGATCCTCAGCACCACATAAAAAAGTAAAATAAAGATATTGTGTCCATCCACAACTAAAAAACATTTTTGAAAAATAAAAAGATACAGAAGGAGCCCACCAGAGGTCTCCCTGCTGTTACACCCCTTCTTGCTTAATGCAGCAGACGGAACCCAGGGCTGCAAGGCAGGCCAGGCAAGCGCTCTGCCTCTGCGCCACCCCAGCCCCTGCTGCCCTTGGCCGTCACTCCTTCCCTTCTGCCCCAGCTTGCAGCACCCACTAGGCCACTTTGCTTCTGAGCTTGACCTTTTTCAATTCCACATATAAGTGAGATCATGCAGGATTTGCCTCTGCTCGGCTCATTTCACTTAGCATAATGTCCCCCAGGACATTTATGAGTCACAAATGGCAGAATTTCCTTCTTTCTTAAGGCTGCCTAATGTTCCATTATATATCCACACACGTAGGTACATGGATATATTCCAATATATATATAAACATATTCAAGAGGCTGGGCATAGAGCTCAGTTGGTAGAGTGCTTGCCTCACATGCACAAGGCCTTGGGTTCAATCCCCAGCATCACCAAAAAAAAAAAAAAAAAAAAAAAAAATATATATATATATATATATATATTTTTTTTTTTTTTCACCCATACACACCCTTGTATAATGGGGCGATTTCTTCCAGGTCCCCTTACAGACTAGAAATCTGTACATGCTCAATGCCCTGCATAAAATGGTGTAGTAGGTGCATGTAGCCCAAGCCCACCCTCTAGTACACTTTGAATACTAGATTACTTACAATACCCCATATAACATAAATGCTGTCAACAGGTGTTCTGTACTGTTTGGTTTGTACTTGCTCAATATAGATGTCTTTTTTTGGAATATTTTGGATCCACTAGGGGTTGACCCTGTGGAGGCGGAAACACAGACACAGAGACCTATTACTTATATATGACATGTCTACCTCTATGTATGTATTTATATACACACCCATACACATGTATTACGTGTACAAAAACAGCACGGTATTATCATGAAAACAGCCATACAGGCCAACAGAATAATGCTGCAGTTAACCCAGAGTGCAGGTGTGTCTCTGAAATCTTGGTATTTCTTTGGGGTTTATACACAGAAGTGGAATTGCTGGGTAGCCCAGGAGTTCCGGTTTCCTGTTTTGGAGAACCATTCATACTGTTTTCTCTAATGGCTGTGCTAATTGGCTCCCCGTCCGAGGTGTGCAAGCCTTCCCCCTTATCCACGTCTCACTGATGTTTGCCATCATTTGTCTTTTTGATAATGTCCATGCTCACAGAGGTGAGGTGCTATCTCATGGCGGCTGGATTTACATTTCCCTGATGATTAGTTGTCGAACATATTTTCATATATTATTTGCCATTTGTGTGTCTTTTTTGGGAGAAGGGTCTCTTAAGGTCCTTTGCTGATTTTTAAATTAGATTCTTTGTTTCCTCGCTGTTGATGTTTCTTATATATTTTAGATATTGACCCTTCTCTGAGGACTCTTTTCTGACATTTGATAATCTGTTTTTTCTCTCCATTGAGATTGTTTACTTTGCTGTGCAGAAACTTTTCAGTTTGTCAGAACTGCTTTTGCTTTCTTCTAAGAATCCTATGGGTTCAGGTCTTGCTTTTAAGTCTATACTCCATTTTGAATTAATTTTTGCAAGTAGTATAAAGTAAGGTTCCAATTTCATTCTGCTGTGTGTATATCAGGTTCCCCCCCAATTTTTTTTGTACTAGGGATTGAATCGAGGGGCATATAACCACTGAGCCCCACCCCCAGCTTTTATTTAGAGACAGGGTCTCTCTGAGTTGCTGGGGCTGGCTTTGAACTTGTGATCCTCCTGCCTCAGCCTTCCAAGCCTCTGGGATTACAGACATGTGCCACTGCACCCGGCAGGGCCAGTAAATATTTGTGGGGTATACTTCCAAAGACAAATATTGACAGCTGCTTTTTGCTCAAGTTCAACTCTGAATCAGAGTGGTGTCCATGGGGCCCAGGGCAAGGCATCCCAGACACAACTCAAGTCCAAACTCCTGAGTTGGATCCACCCACTAAGGACTGCAGTTCCACCTCTTGCCAGCAGAGGACAACAGTCTCTGTCTATCTTCCAAGGATTCCTGTGAGAGCTCCCTGACATCTGGCCAATTCCCAGAAAAGTCCAGACTAATGAGTCTTCACTGAGGAAAGATCTGAGATTGGGATTCGTGGGCAATCACTGCAGGAAGACGGCGGGGGAGAGATGTGAAGAAAGGAAGAGCTCAACCTTCAGCCAGCACAGGTCAAATGCTGGGGAGGGGAGCCATGGAAGGCAGGGCCATTAAGACGTCCCACAAGAGAATGGACTGGTCGAAGCTTGACTGGAGACACTCTGAACTTGAGTCTCAGTCTCTTCACTTTTCAAACAAGGAGGCTGGAATACAAGATTTCAGAGTTCCTGAGTTCCAGAGTTGGAGCTCCTGAATTCCTTCCTTATACCAAAGCATGCTCACGATAATCCAGCGGAGAGATGGGCATGTGCAGATACAGCCCTGCAAGAGTCCACAAGAGAGGCCAGGTCTGGGCCAGGTCCCTTGTCAGGGCTCAGGCACTTTTGGGGGGGGGGAGGGTGGGGGCAGGGATTGAGCTCAGAGGCACCCAACCACTGAGCCACACCCCCAGCCCTATTTTGTATTTTATTTAGAGTCAGGGTTTCACTGAGTTGCTTAGTGCCTCGCTTTTGCCGAGGCTGGCTTTGAACTTGTGATCCTCCTGCCTCAGCCTCCTGAGCCACTGGGATTTCAAGCGTGGGCCACTGCACCCCATTCACTCTGATTGTATTCTAAAATCCTCTGCTTCTCTCAGCCCCTAGGAATCACCTACCACACCCCTAATATCATGCCTGGGCCAAAGCCTGACACATAGTAAATTCTTACTAGCAATGTACAGGACGAAGAAGGGAAGGAATTAAAAAATAGAACTGAACATCCCGGCTCTGTGTGGGCACAGGGCAGAGACGGTGGCACCTTGGAATTGCTGGGACACTTGTCCTGAATAAACCTGCTCCTGCTCTTCAGGAGCAAGGCACCTGGAGCAAAAGGAGAAAAATTGTGGAGGAGACGTGAGAGCCCAGGATTAGCGAAGATGGGTTGGTGTCCTAGAAGCCAGTCACGGTGTGTGTCTTCTACCTCCCTCTCCCTTGGCAATGACCTTGTCTCCTCCATTACAGAGCCACTGGTTCAGCTGGAGCTGGGACTCCGTGGGTCCATTAAGACTCCCCTGGGGCGGACAGGCATCCACAGAGTGCATTAGAGCGAGACAGACTGGCGGGGAGGTCGGGGCCGGCTTGGCAGCCGCCGCCCCCAAAGAACAGCATCTCAGCCTCATTCCTTCCCAAACAGCAACCCCAGCAAATCCCAGGAGCCTGATTAAGGGTGTCTCTGCACCAAGCAGGTCACCGCCCTGTCTCGGGCCTGCAATTTCCATGCAATGGCTGCTCTTCTCTGAATGGGCAGTCTGCTCATACTGACCCCTTCTGCACGGGGGACCCGTGTGCTCGCAAGCGAGGGGAGCCTGGCTGGGATCCACCGCTTATCGGCCCTGTGATCCGAGATGAGTTCCTGAATCTGAACCCTCCATTAACCTCGTCACCAGCAAAATGGAGCCGGTCATGACACCAAGCTCATCAGGTTGCCGCAGATTACAAGAGATAAGGCATCAAAGGCTCATAAAGCTTGAGCCGGATCAATAGTAAGTGACTAAGGGAAGTCCACGGGTCGCAGCTGCTGCCTGCCTTGCTATTTTCTTTGTTAGGATGACATGAGTTGCACAAGGTGATT